GGGGCTATGAGGCGGTCTGGGGTAGCATCCCCCCACCCCACTCCAGACCCCTCATAGCCCCCCCTTCTGATAGTCCGGCATATCTGATAATCCAGCATCCTCTGTGTCCTAAAGGTGCCGGATTATTGGAAATTTACTGTATTAAAAAGTAGAAATGTGAATAAATTGCTAAGAATGAGTATAGAAGAATAGCACAAGCATGTAGGAATAAAATCAGAAAAGCTAAGAACAAAATGAGTTACCGCCTAGCAAGGGGCATAAAATAGGAAGAATTTTTTTAAATTAGGAACAAAAGAAAAACAAAGGAAACCCCAGTTCCTCTCTAAAGGAGAGCTAATAACTGATGGTATCCATCTTCACTAAAAAGTGAAAAGCAAACCAGATATCAAATTGAATATGAATCAACAATATGATGCAACTGCAAAAAAAGCTAATGTCTTTCTGGGCTATGTTAACAGGAATGTTGTAAGACATGGGAGGTAACTGTCCTGCTCTATTTGGCACTGGCGAGACCTCAGTTGGATTACTGTGCCCAATTGTGTGCGCCACACTTTGGGAAAGGTGTGGATAAATTGGAAAAAGAGTCCAGAGGAGAGCAACAAAAACCTGACCTATAAGGAAAGGATAAAAAAACTGGACGTGTTTTGTTTGAGAAAAGAAAGGGGGGGTGGCTAGGAAAGACTCCAAATTGGTGGTTATCCTCCAAAAATGTGAAGTGCTGTTATAAAGAAGACTGCAAACACGTGTTTTCCCACATCCACTGAAGGTAGGTGAAAAGGTAATAGGCTTAATTTGGAACAATGGAGATTAAGGTTATATATTAGGAAAAACTTGGTAACTATAAGTAGTTAAACACAGAATAGATTTCCAAAGGAGGGTTTTTTTAAGAACCTGTTGGACAGTAATAGAGACGTAGCTGTGTTAGTCTAGTCTAGCTGAAACTAAAAACAGGACTATGTAGAACTTTAAAGACTAACAAGATGGTTTATTAGGTGATGAGCATTTGTGGGCCAGACCCACATTCTCAGATCAGAAAATAGGCATGACCATATATACCAAAGGGATACGATCAAAAAAAGTGAACACATATAAAAATGACAAATCAAATGTATTTACCTCCCTCCCTCATCCCCCTCTGTTCTGAAATGTGATTTGTCCTTTTTTATATGTGTTCACTTTTTTTGATCGTATCCCTTTGGTATATATGGTCATGCCTATTTTCTGATCTGAGAATGTGGGTCTGGCCCACAAATGCTCATCACCTAATAAACCATCTTGTTAGTCTTTAAAGTGCTACATAGTCCTGTTTTTTGTTTCTGTTGGACAGATATCTCTCAGGGAAGATGTGGGTTTATTTTGTCCTGCACGGGGCTACACTTGACTTCTTGAAGTCCCTTCCATCCTACTTTTCTATGATTCTGTAATTTCCCCAATCAAAGTGAGTGGGGCTTCACATGAGCACAGCAGACAGCCAATAGACAGTCCATGACCAGATTGGAATCTAATAAGTGGATCCAAGGAACAGATGGGAGAGAGTTCAAAGGTACCATATCATAATAAGCAATAATTATTCTTATATAAGGAATAAAAGAAAATTTTCTGAAATGAACAGATTCTGTAAATGCTGATATTTTAAAATTAATTAACAGTTACAGTATTTATATGTCCACCTCCAAAGAAAGTAACTTGCCAATGATATAGTTCTGTGTGGGACCAGTACTGACCTTCCTGTGTTTAGAATGAGACCTAAACAATTGTGTAAGTACAGTGTGATGTGTACATAAGAAATGACTTCTTCCCTGGACCTGCATGTCTGTAGCAAGTCATCCACATAAAGGGATTCTGCAGAGATCAGTTCTGGACCCAGTTCTTTTTGGCTATGTCTACACGGCAACATTATTTCGAAATAACATAGTCCGCATCTAGAGCTGAAATAATGTTGAAATACTGTCAAGTTGAGGTACTTGTTACTCCAACTCCTGTAACCTTCATTTTATGAGGAGTAAGAACAGTCAGAGGAAGAGTGCTCTATTTCGAAATAAGTGCTCAATAGACAGCACCAAAACTCAAAATAAGCTGTTTTGAAATAAGCTAATCAATTGATGTAGCTTAATTTGCATAGCTTATTTCAAGTTAAGCCCTGCTGTGCAGAAGCGCCCTTTAATAGCTTCATCAATGAATTGGATAATGGCATAGAAAGTACACTTATTAAGTTTGCAGATGATACCACGCAGGGAGGAGTTGCAAGTGCTTTTTGAAAGATAGGATTAGTATTCAAAATTATCTGGACGAACTAGAGAAATGGTCAGAGGTAAACGGGGTGAAATTTAATAAAGACAAATGCAAAGTGCTCTACTTCGGAAGGAAGGAACAATCAGTTACACACATACAGAATGGTAAATGACTGACTAGAGAAGAGTACTGCAGAAAGATTTGTAAGGGTCATAAGAGCTCTCATGCTAAATACAAGTCAACAGTGTAACACTGCTACAAAAAAAAAGTGATCATTCTCAGATGCATAAACAGGAATATTGTAAGACATGAGAAGTAATTCTTCCTCTATACTCTGTGCTGATTAAGCCTCAGCTGGAATACTGTGATCAGTTCTGAGTTCCACATTTCAGGAAAGATGTGGACGAATTTAAGAAGGTTGAGAAGAACAACAAAAATTACTGAAGGTCTAGAAAACATGACCTATGAGGGAAAATTGAAAGAACTGGATTTGTTTAGTCTGGAAAAGAGAAGACTGAATGGGGACATGATAAGTTTTCAAGTACCATCACTGTTTTAGGGCTAGTGAGTGGGGTGCATGATTGGCCCTCCATCTCAGTGGGCCACAAGACTGTCATAACCAAGAGTCTCCTGAGATAAGGTAGTTTTGCTAACTATGCTTGCGTACCTAAAGTTTGTGGGATGTGCTGATTAAATCATACCAGTGCTTTGATTAGATGCAGAGCAAGTGCATTGCTCTTATAATTCATGTTGTGTGCAGTCAGCATGCACCTCATTTCACATGCCCTTGATTCACATTCATGTCACTTTAATAATACTGCTGAGGGGGAAAACTACATGGAATCTGGCAACTCTATGTGTGGGTTATTGGAGTATGCTCAAATGAGTACAGGTTGGACCTCCCTCATCCAGCAACCTCAGGACCTGACTGGTCCTGGACAAGGGAGTTTGATAGATCAGGGAAGGTCGGGGGAGGGGGGTTATGTGCTGTGCTCCTCTCATCAGCTACCTGGCACAGCTGCCCTATCCCCCTCCAGTTGCATCACCCCAGGAGCTCTGTGTTGCTGGCGCTCTTGTCCCTGGAAGCCCTGGGCTCTGTGGACCCCTCCTCCCAGCCCTACCAGCTGCAGATTCTATGCCTGCCCCCTTTCCCCTGCCACACAGACACCATCGGCCCGCTGGCTTCCCTAGCCAGCTAACTGAGGACTCTGGTGCCCCATGGGTTACGCTGCCCCAATGTCCCCACCATCAGCTCTGCTCCCAGCCACCAGCAACCTCTGTTCTGGGGCTAGTCCACCAACATGCATGGTCTTGCCAGACCAGAGAGTCCTGGACCACACAGGTATAATCTGTAACTCCACTGGCTATAGATTATGTTTCCAATGCCACCCGAGCAACCTGAGTTAGAGGCAATTGGGAGAACTGGTCAAAATATTTTGTTGAAAATGTCATTTTGTCAAATTGAGCATTTCTGCAAGAATTGTCCAATTTCCAAGACATTTTTCAGGTTTTAACTAAAAAAGATCATTTTATTTTTTAAGAAAAATTGGGGTAGAAATTGTTTAATCAAAAAAAACTAGCAGGGGGAGATGAAAATGGTTTGCTTGTATTTTAAAAAACCAACTTAATAAAAAAAATGTCAACAAAGTGTAAAAATGTTTTTATATAAATCTTTCGTGAAAACAAAAAAAACTTCACTCACTTACAAGCTCTGGCAATATTATACATGTGTCATGGAGGGTATTATCTGAAGATTCTGCTGCTGTACAGATGTAACCAAGCACATTGTTTGGCCTGCAAAAAAACTATAGCAGTATGTGAGGTAGACATTACCCAGTCTGATTGGCTTAGATCAGGTCAGATTTTCAGGACTGGTATTTGGGGTGGAGGGAATGCAAGGTCTTTATCAAAAGGCCAGTGAAATCTCTGAATTAGAGGTTTCTTTGGCATAATACTAGGCATTCAATTCCTTTTCAAGTTTACTCTCCCATTAATAGTTATATCTGAAGTTAAGAAAAAATATTAAGATTTAGTCATCTCTATGTTTCCCTTACTAAATGCTTCCCTGAAATAAATTTATATTTAAAAAAAACTTCCAGGAGTGATATTTCAGAAGATTTGAATCTTTGGTAAAACTGTTTCAATAAATTTAGCCAGCAATGAGACATAGTGCTCTAGGGAGACCATGTGAACCTGCCTAAATATTTCCCCATTTCATTATATTAAATACTCTCTTCATAAATTAATTTTAAGGTTGTTTCAGATTGGAACATTTCTCCAAAAGCCTTAGATTAGATTTGGAGTGTTTATCAACCTTCTTCAAAACTACACCACAAGTAGTAAAAATGGAATTTATATATCTGTACAATTGCTTCAGATAAAGCAGATTAGGGATAAACCAATAGGGAAGGTGTTTCTCACTCAACAATCACCAAAGGAAATACAATATTGAAGACAGGTAATAGCCATTTAACTCTGAGAGATCAAGTACTCCAAAAAATGGCAGGTTCTTTTCATGATCTTATCCAAAATATACAAAGTCTATGCCTGAGATTCCATTGGAATGTTTCTTTTAATGGTCTGAAATGCTGAAAATGAAAAATCTCATTTTCAATCAGGAGCAGTCCTGCAGAATGTTATTTCTCAAGGCCACATTCAAATTTACAATTTTAGCTCGGCTGAGCAGACAATGAAAATTAACTGTATCATTTTCTCACATTCTGCCTTATGATGTACTACAGGCTAGATTTGAATCAATAATTTTACAAAGTCTAGGGCAGTCCTGAAGGGAACAATTGCAGGGGAGAGAGGGATGGAGAAGAGGAATCAAGGACAAGACACCAATGTAATCAACATTATCTGGGGAAGAAACAGACTTTTTCAAAATTAAGGCCACAAAGTTTATTTTCTTTTGCAGGGACACACACCATAAGAACAGGTAGTATGCATTATTCTGTACATTGTTTTCTGCAACAAATGGACAACTTTTCAATTTCAAAATTAAAGAAATTTAAAAACATCCTCTAATTTTTATGTATGAGACTTAGTATGACTGCATTGCTATTTCGGGATACTGGAAGTATCCCAAAATATCAACATTGCATCTTTAAAAGCACCCGCTGTTTCCCGAAATAGAGGATGCGATATTCCAGCATCCCTGTAACCTTCATTCCACGAGGGTTAAGGGATTTGTCGGAATAGCGCCTTATTTTGAAATTTGGTGCTGTCTACACAGTGCCAAATTTCAAAATAAGCTCTTTCAATTTAGACTCAGAATAAGCTACGGAAATTGCATAGCTCAGTCTGACAGAAGGGTGCTGTTTAGATGAACCCCTCGATTTCTTTTCAGAAGTTATCAGTAATATTGCCTTTCAAAAAGAAATCTAGAATCATCAGCAGGAGGAGAAAGAAAAACAATAGCCGGGGGACAAATCCAATTTGTTTCATAGACAACCAATTTATTGTTTCCTACTTTAGAAGAACGTGGGGGAGATCATGAATGGTTCACACAAACTTAAAAGATATCCAAATAGACCTTAATTTTATGTGAGACAAACAGAAATAATAATTTCAGTATCTGTCATGGAATTTCTTAGTCACTACTTATTTGACTTGCAACTCAAAGTTCAGACAAAATAAAATAAAATAAAATAAACCAGGACACAACCAGAAATTATAATAGCTTTGAAATGTTTTTGCTTTATATTCAGTCAAGAAACATTAGCCAGAGAATGGCATTTTTGGCATTCACATTTCATTTGGTCAACATTGAACAGTTCTTGATTACAGAACAAGCAACTTCCTTAGTCTGGGGGCAGATGATAGAACAAGAATTTAGCTTAGTCTATAACAGCAAAGTAATTTTTGGCTTGGTAAAGATCTGGAACTAAAATTACATACTTAGTCTGAAAAATGATCTGTAAGATCTGGAGGCCATTCTGGGAAATGCACTGTATACTCAATTTTTTTTCTTCATTTAGCATATGGATGTTTTAACTGAAGCTTGTCCTATTCACAAGCAAAAATGTGACTAAACTACTTCACATGTTAAAACCACAATGCATGAGTAAGTTCAGAAAAAAAATGTAGCCATATTTTTAATACGCTGTTTTAAATTTCAGGAACACTGCTCATAAAGTACTTATAACAACAAATGAAAATATAGTTCCTAACCAAAATTGCCACTTCTGTGTCTATTGTTGGTGACTACCATCTTGCTAAAAATGACATTATTTATACTGAATTTGGAAGTCTGATTCTAGCATTAATCAGTTTCTAGCACACTTAAATACTTTTCAACTGATGTTGCATGAGTATTAAAAGTGGGAGAGAAGCAAATCAGAGAATCGTAAGTAGAAGTGACAGATAAGCAAAGAGGAAGAAGTGCTGGGATAAGTATAACCTGGACAAAGCATCCAAATACCCTACACACGTCTTGATAGAACTGTGAAAGACAGGTTTTTTTCTACTTGTTTGATCTATCACTTATTCTGGAGAAGACTCTGTTACTACCTGTCTAGGTCATTTTTTATTTAAGTGATCATTTTATAAAAACTATTGTTTTCAGTTGTTTATTACCTTGGGCACTATTTTTTAGAAAGCATAGGTTCTAACTAGATATAGATTATCCTATAAAATGAGGTCCTGTTATAAATGCTTCACTCTAATCCAGTCACAAACACGTGAGCAATAATTACAAGCATACATATCAGTGGCTCAATAATGACTATATCCAAAAAAGAAAAAGGTCATCCTATTCAATTCCAATTATACCACTGGAAAGTAACAGGCAGGCAAAGCCATTTATGAAAATCATCATAGGTTAAAAATATAGAGCATGGATATGAACATAAATCCAAGTTCTTAAATATGAAAACCAAGTACGCATATTTAAATCATTTGCCAACATCAAAAGACATCACCAAAATGAACAAACTACCTGTTCTGCATACTTAAAAATCAGAAACTTATCCATTACAAAGAAATTCACCATTTGTTTTCAAAATTCATGTAACAAGCTAACTACATCATTATAGATGGCTATATGTATTAGCTACTTCCCTTTAAAGTAAAATAAAAAATATAATTAGCAGTTTGTATACTTTAAATGACATACCCTATCAGAGGGATCTCAATTATATCTTTTTCTACCAAAAGGAGTAATCTATCTTGAAGGTCTTTCTCACTGTCCGGATGGTATTCCACGGAAGCTGTAACTTGAAGACCAGATGCAACAGGTTTATCTGGATTTTCCACAATCAATTTAAACTACAATGAAAAAAACAGTAATATTTTTAATTAATTTTTAAATATTTCTAGATAAACCTCTATATTTCGGTGGCCCATTTGCAGCATAGTATGTTAGAGTTTATGTTTATAATTAACATTATGATTGCCAGTTTTAAAATTCCACTCACTATTTACCAATGGCAAATAGAATACTGATCCATTAATGTCTGTAAAAATTAGGTTTCTTTTAACAATATATTATTTTTAGTGTGTGTGATCAAGAGGATAACCTACTAAACATGAACTAATGCACTACTATCATCCTGAGATTGAAAACAGACAGCTGCATTGCCTGTGCTACTGCTATTAGCTTTCCCAAACAACAAAACTAAATTAAGAAGGACTTGACCAGTTTCCTGGTTTCAGAATATTATGCAGGCCCATATGCAGGTGGGTGCAAAGGTCCCTCATGATCTCCCAAATAAGTGTGCTTTGGGCTGCCAGGGAAAGGCAGGAGCGGTATGCTGCCCAAGCGGTATGACCTCTCCCATGGTCAAGCCGGCTGGGGCTGAGGCTCATTCCCCCCACTGCAATTCTCCCAGGAGTAAGGCCAGGAGAGGGGCTGGCCTCGCTCCTGTGGGAGAGAGAGAGAGAAAAATCAGCCCCAGCCTTCCCCAGCCAGCCAGATCATGAGGGAAAAGACAGGACTATGTAGCACTTTAAAGACTAACAAGATGGTTTATTAGATGATGAGCTTTCATGGGCCAGACCCACTTCCTCAGATCAAAGAGTGGAAGAAAATTGTCACAACCATATATACCAAAGGATACAATTTAAAAAAAAAAGTGAACACATATGAAAAGGACAAATCACATTTCAGAACAGAAGAGGGATGCGGGGGGGGGAAGGTAAGTGTCTGTGAGCTAATGATATTGGAGGTGGGGAAAGGTAAATGTCTGTGAGCTAATGGTATTAGAGGTGATAATTGGGGAAGCTATCTTTGTAATGGGTAAGATAGTTAGTGTCTTTGTTGAGACCAACACGTAGAGTGTTGAATTTTAGCATGAATGACAGTTCAGAGGATTCCCTTTCAAGTGCAGATTTAAAAGGCTTCTGGAGCAGGATGCAGGTAATTAAGTCGTTGAGACAGTGTCCTTTCTGGTTGAAATGGCAAGAAACTGTTTTTTCTTTGTGATCCTGTCTAATATCTGTTTTGTGGGCATTGATCCTTTGGCGAAGTGTCTGAGACGTTTGTCCAATGTACATAGCAGACGGACACTTTCGGCACATGATAGCGTAGATTATATTTCTGGATGCGCAGGAATATGTGTTCTTGATCTTATAACTTACTTGGTTAGGTCCAATAATGGTATCAGCAGAATGAATATGTGGACAAAGCTGGCAACGGGGTTTGTTGCAAGGGAAGGTACCAGGGTTGGTATTAGTGTGGTATGTCCTGTGGTTGTTGGTAAGAATCATCTTGAGGTTAGGTGGTTGTCTATAGGAGACTATGGGTCTGTCTCCCAGAGCTTCCTGGAGTTTAGTATCCTGTTCCAGTATAGGCTGTAGTTTATTGATAATGTGTTGGACAGGTTTAAGTTGGGGGCTATAGGTGATGGCAAGTGGTGTTCTATTGTTGGTTTTCTTGGGTCTGTCTTGTAGTAGCTGGTTTCTAGGTATTCGTCTGGCTCTTTCAATTTGCTTTTTTATTTCTCCGGGTGGGTAGTTGAGGTTTATAAATGCTTGGTAGAGATCCTGAAGTTTCTGGTCTCTGTCAGTAGGATTAGAGTAGATGCGGTTTGTCCAATCACAAAGAAAAAACAGTTTCTTGCCATTTCAACCAGAAAGGACACTGTCTCAACGACTTAATTACCTGCATCCTACTCCAGAAGTTTTTTAAATCTGCACTTGCAAGGGAATCCTCTGAACTGTCATTCATGCTAAAATTCAACACTCTACGTGTCGGTCTCAACAAAGACACTAACTATCTTACCAATTACAAAGATAGCTTCCCCAATTATCACCTCTAATACCATTAGCTCACAGACATTTACCTTTCCTCACCTCTAGTATCATTAGCTCACAGACATTTACTTTCCTTCCCCCTCTCGCTCCCGCATCCCCCTTCTGTTCTGAAATGTGATTTGTCCTTTTCATATGTGTTCATTTTTTTTAATTGTATCCTTTGGTATATATGGTTGTGACAATTTTCTTCCACTATTTGATCTGAGGAAGTGGGTCTGGCCCACGAAAGCTCATCACCTATTAAACCATCTTGTTAGTCTTTAAAGTGCTACATAGTCCTGTTTTTTGTTCCAGTGCAGATAGATATTCAATGTGGAGAATTTAGCTCAGAGGGAAGTCTCTCATTGACTTCAATGAGAGTCAGATTAGACCTTAAGGGTAAGTCTAGTTTTGCTTTCACTTTTGAAAGAAGATATGCAAATTTGGCAGTACTTTGCATATCTTCTTCCGATAACTTTTTTGAAAGAGCTTTTTTTAAAAAGCAAGCCGATTAGACCCAGTTCTTCTGAAAAAAAAATTTTTTTTTGAAAGAACTTTCTTCCTCAAAAAATGAGATTTACAACTTCTTTCGAAAAAAGGGTTGGGTTTTTTTCCCCCCCTCGAAAGAACCGCATCTAAACTGCTTGCTTTAAAAAAAAAAAAAAAAAAAAAAAAACTCTAACAAATTATACCTCCTGTAGATGCTAAGTAACCAACCACTGTTAATCAAAAAGTTGGACACAAAATACCTGTTCAAAGTCAAGCACACTTCTCTTGTCAGTCATCACATTTTAAATTTCTGTATTAAATGATAAACTTAAAAACACAACAAATAGTCTGCCAGCACTTTAAAGACTAACAAAACACAACTGGGGAAAAGGGGCACAGTTGTACTGTAGCATCTCAGTTATCTGAAGTCAGAGGTGACCAATTGTGATGACAATAGATTAAAGAATTCTTGGAGACTGATGGCACAGAGTCTGTGAAAAAGGGTCAGATAAAAATATTATGAATAATTTTAGAAGGTGACATGCCTTATAACCTCCTGAAAAACAAAGCAAAAAAAAAAAAAACCCCAACACCTCAGCTCATAAGCCAATACTCATTTGACGTATTGAAATTGATGGACATTTACAAATGAACCAATGTATTCAAGTGTATACTAGGAGAGATTTTTTTAAAAAATTGGGCTTTATTTGGATTTTTTTTAAATGCTTAACCAGTCTCTCTTCATAGTCAATACAAACAGTTTATTTTAGGCTAGAGACCAAATGGTAGAGGAATTTTATTTCTTACATGTATAAAAATACAATATTTAGACCATCAAAAGGAGTTTTTATATTTTAGTTCAATAAGCAACACATGGAAAATTGATTTTATGCCATTATCCTTCTTGGCTACAAGGGCACACTGTTGACTCATATCCAGCTTCTCATCCACTGTAATCCCCAGGTCCTTTTCTGCAGAACTGCTACTTAGCCATTCAGTCCCCAGACTGTAACAATGCTTGGGATTCTTCTGTCCCAAGTGCAAGACTCTACACTTGTCCTTGTTGAACCTCATCAGATTTATTTTGGCCCAATCCTCTAATCTGTGTAGGTCAGTATGGACCCTATCCCTGCCCTCCAGCGTATCTACCTCTTCCCCTAACTTAGTGTCATCTGCGAACTTGCTGACGGTGTAATCCATCCCCTCATCCAGGTCATTAATAAAGATGTTGAACAAAACCGGCCTTAGAACTGATATTTGGGGCACTCCGCTAGAAACCTTACATCGAGCTGTTGATCACTACTCTTTGAGCTTGAGAGTCTAGCCAGCTTTCTGTTCATTTTACAGTCCATTTATCCAATCCATATTCCCTTAACTTGCTGGCAAGAATATTGTGGGAGACGGTATCAAAAGCTTTGCTAAAGTCAAGGTATATCACAGCCACTGATTTTCCCATATCCATAGAGCCAGTTACCTCATCATAGAAGTTAATCAGATTAATAAGACACAACTTGCCCTTCATGAATCCATGTGGACTATTCCTGATCACTTTCCCCTCTTCCAAGTGCTTCAAAATCAATTCCTGGAGGATCCACTCCATGATTTTTCTGGGGACTGAAGTAAGACTGACTGGTCTGTAGTTCCCTAGATTGTCCTTCTTCCCTTTTTTAAAGATGGGCACTACATTTGCCTTTTTTCAATCATCCGGGATCTCTCCAGATCTTCACAAGTTTTCAAGGATAATGGCCAAAGGTTCCGCAATGACATTTGCCAACTCCCTCAGTACCCTCGAATGCATTAAATCTGGGCCCATGGATTTGTGTATGTTTAGCTTTTCTACATAGTTCCTAACTTGTTCTTTCCCCACCAAGGGCTGTCTACCTCCTTCCCATATTGCACTGACTAGTGCATTTGTCTGAGCACTGACCTTGTCCGTGAAGACAAAGACAAAGAAAGCATTGAGTACCTCAGCTTTTCCCACATCCTCTGTCACTAGGTTACCTCCCTCAGTCAGCAAGGGCACCACACCCTCTCTGATCACCCTCTGATAACCCTCTTATTGCTAACATGCCTGTAGAAACCTTTCTTGTTACCCTTCACATCCCTTGCTAGCTGCAATTCCAATTGCGCTTTCTCCTTCCTGATAATTCCCCTGCATTCTCAAGCAATATATTTATACTCCTCCCTAGTCATCTGCCCAAGTTTCCACTTCTTGTAAACTTCCTTTTTGTGTTTAAAGGATGTCCCCGGTAAACGAATCTGGTCGCCTAACATATTTGCTTTTCTTGCTGCGCATTGGGATGGTTTCTTCCTGTGCCTTTAATAAGGCTTCTTTAAAATACTGCCAGCTCTCCTGGATTCCTTTCCCCTTCATGTAAGCATCCCAGGGAATCCTGCCCATCTGTTCTCTGAGGGAGTCAAAGTCTGCTTTTCTAAAGTCCAGGGTGTGTATTTTGCTACTCTCTTTTCTTCCTTTGGTCAGGATCTTGAAATCTACCATCTCATGATCACTGCTTCCCAGGTTGTCACTCACCTCTACTTCCCCAACTAGTTCCAACCTGTTTGTGAGCAGCAGGTCAAGCTGCGCATGGCCCCTGGTTGGTTCCTTCAGCACTTGTACCAAGAAGTTATCCCCAACATTCTCAAAAAACTTCCTGGATTGTCTGTTTACTGCTGTATTGGTCTCCCAAGAGATGTCAGGGTGATTATAGTCCCCCTTGAGAACCAGAGACTGCGATCTGGAAGCTTCTCTCAGTTTTGTCTGAAGAAAGCCTCGTTTACTCATCCACCTGATCCGGCGGTCTATAGCAGATACCAACCACAACATCACCCCTGTTGCTTCCACCTCTAAACTTAACCCATAGACTCTCAACAGGCTTTTCTCCCTCTAAAAACTGGAGCTCCAAGCAATCATACTGCTCTCTTACATACAATGCAACTCCTCCCCCTTTCCCCTCCCTTCCTGAACACTTTATACCCTTCCATGATAGTTCTCCAGTCACGCGAGTCATCCTACCAAGTCTCTGTTATTCCAATCAAATCATAGTTCTTTGACTGGGCCAGGGCTTCTAATTCTTCCTGTTTGTTTCCCAGGCTTCTTGCATTTGTGTACAAACACCTTAAATAGCAGTTGATTGCCATACCTTCACCATTCGCTTAAAGGGTCCTCCTTTGTTGCTCGTTCCTCCTTCTGTTTCTTCCTGGTAACCAACTCCCTTCACTCACCTCAGGGCTTTGGTCACTGTCCCCCAACGAACCTATTTTAAAGCTGTCCTCACTAGGTTTGCAAGCCTGCCCACAAAGATGCTCTTCCCTCTCTTGGTTAGATGGATCCCATCTCTTCCTAACAATCCTTGTGCCCGGAACAAAGTCCCATGGTCAAAGAAACAAAAGCCCTCTCTCCAACAGCACCTGTGCAACCATGCATTTACTTCCTTAATTCGACAATCCCTACCTAGACCTTTTCCTTCAACTGGAAGGATGGACAAGAACACCACTTGTGCTTCAAATTCTTGATCCTTCTTTCCAGCACTACATAATCTGCTGTGACTCACTCAAGGTCATTCTTGGCCATATCGTTAGTTCCTACATAGAGAAGCAGGAAGGGGTAGTGATCTGAAGGTTTAATCAGTTTTGGAAGACTCTTGGTCACATCCTGAATGCGAGCTCCCAGTAAGTAGCGCACTTCTCAAGATTACAGGTCTGGACGGAAGATGGATGACTCAGTCCCTCTTAGGAGAGAGTCCTCTACCACCACCACCCATCTTCCTCTTTTGGGGATGGTGGTCATGGAACCCCCATCCCTAGGACTACGCATCCCATGACTTCCAGTAGATGGAATTTCCTTCTGATTTCTTCCCTGAGAGGTCCCTGCCAAAGCATTCTCCATTGCAGTGCCTGTGGAGAGAGCCTGAAAGTGGTTACTTATCTCTACATGAATGGGGGATACCTGAGTTCACCATCTTCTTCTTCTCGACTCTAGAGGTTACATACGGCCAGTTTTCTTCCTTGTCCTGTACTGCCCTGACTAGTTCTACAGCCTGCTATGTCAGCAGGATTAAACGCTGCCTTCTAGCGAGGAAATCTTCATCTCCTTTATAAAGCCCTGGACTGCCTGATAGCCCCTTCCCCTGATTAAGGCTCAACCAATGAGCAGAGGCTTCTAGATTTCAAACCCTGATTAGAAGCTCACCTGCCAGCCACAGCACACACTCCGTGGGGGGAAAGGTGAAGGAAAAAAATTTGTATATCTTCTTTCGAAAGAAAAACGTAGTCTAGACATACCCTCTGAAGGAAGAGAAACCCCAAAAAATCAACAATGAAGGAGTACTTTTTTAGTGGAAAGGGAACATCTCTCTTCCTTGGACTACAAATGCATTACATGTGTATTAGTTAGAAGTCAATATAAAAAGTTAGCAAGACTCCCACCTTCCTCCCCTCCCCTGAACACACTCTCCTGACTAAGGGACATGTTGAACAACTCAGTAGAAATGCCAACAGAAATTCTCATGGAGTAGAAATGGGCACCTAGGTTTGTGACCAAGGTATTTGGACACTACTGGTATCCTCTACCCTTCACTTATCACATTAACCTCTGGCTAATAAGTTTCTGTTAAATCTTTTAAGTCACACAGCTGATGGTACAAAGCTTCATATTACCAAATGTTTATATCTTAAAAAGGAAAAAACTCACTCTGCTTTAAGTTTATTGTATTCATTTGTATATTAAGTAGGGCTCTCAAGATATTTAAAAAAACAAATCAACCGCAATTACTCACATGATTAAATGTTTTAATCATGATTAATTGCACCCCTTAGAAACGCTGCAGCGGCATTTCCAAGAGGCAGCATCAGGGAGCCCAGGATCAGCTGGCATCCCCAGCTGACCCCGGCTCCATGCCTCACTGCCCTTTGCAAACACCAGCACTTCAAAGGGGCAGTGCATTAGGAGCCTGGGATCAGCTGGAATTCCCAGCTGACCCTGGGCTCTGTGCAGTGCTGCCCCGTTAAAAGTGCTAGCGCGCTAGCTTATCCCTGGCTCCGCCTTGCGCTGCCCCTTTCAAGTGCCACTCTGGCATTTCAAAGGGGCAGTGCAGCATTAATGCCCGCATTAAAAAAATTGTGTTAATCCTGCCCTGCATTAATTGCAGGCATTAACACACATCAATTGACAGTCCTAATATTAAGAATCCATACACATAACATTTTTACTTAACTGTTACCTGAGCATTTTCTTCCATACTGATACATTTTTTCATAACAGTATCAACAAAGTTAGGGGAAGTTGTGCTTTAAACAGTATGCCCCGGGAGATTTTAAGACTAATAAGTTTCAGGGACTGCAGCATGAAAGCATGCTTAATTTTAGAACTGCGTGCAATGCATTTTGCTAGACTCAGAATTAGACGCCATTTAAATTAAACAGCCAGGCACCTTCACCATGTAAAAGGGCTAACAAATGTTTCCTAAACAATCCTCTATGACATGTGTAGAAAAAGGCTTTTTGTGCTAAATTTCCATAGATGGCATTACTTGGTCATGCATATATTAAAAGCTCAAATATCTGACTAAAAAAGGTTATGTAACAGTGCCTTCATTTTCCAAGTGGACTGACTCAGAAAATTGTCCCTTCTGTCACACACCATTGATAATAGTAAAAGTCATGGAGGAGAGGGGAGGCAGAGACCAATTACCATACAGAACTTAATATATAAAATGCATCCTTGCCCCTTACCTCAGTCCTTCATTCTTCCCAGAACACAAGCAAAACATTAGGCATAAAACAAACAATTCCAATGTGAATTTGCAAATGATATATTCACAGGGACTCCAGTTATGGACGAAAAATCTTTCATTCTCTTTTATGAAATGCCTCTATGGATCTCCACTTTAGAAAACTTAGCATATGACAAAACCCATTAATAGAATTGTGAAGTACTAATTAAGTAAATATTCAAGCACTACTCTCTTAAAATGAGCACTCAACATAGCCTCCAAGTCAAGCCAATATTTCCTAGTGAAAGAGTGAACTGAGCTCCAGTAGTAACTTTGCCAATTTTAGGGAATGATGTATTATATACGCAGCCAAGAGTGGCCACTCTTCCTCTCACAAAAGGGGGCCTGTCTTGGTCTTTCCAATCAGCTAGATCATCATAAATCTTATAGCTGAATTCAATGGTGGGTTAGCTCCAGACAACTGGAGGGCTAGAAAAAAAAATCCACAGCCAGGAAGCAGAAGCCCAAAGTACTGGCCACCATATGGGGGAAGTGCCTGCATGCTGACCCCATTTCCCAGCAGCACCCCCAACCTGTCCCCCAGCAGAAGCCATAGCGTGAAGGAAGTCCCAGCACCCTCCAAACTCATCCCCTAACAGAAGCCCTGGGACAGCAGGGGAAACCCCCAGGTTCACCAGCGCCATCTCCATCAGAAGATGCAGGGCAAGAAAGATCCAGTGCTTGTGCTCTATTGCAGAAGCACCAGGCAGACAGGATCAAAGAAGCCCCAGCATCCCAACCGTGATCCCTGGCAGAAGAGGTGGGGAAAGCCCTGGCCCCAGGATCCTCTGCAGCCCCGGGAATGCATGGGGCGAAGGAGTAGGTGGGAGCCAGTGCTCTCAGGGAGATGGTTTTTAAGCTTCTAATTCTTAACTAGACTTGCTAAATCAAACTCCAGAAGATCTTTCGAGGCAGCAGTGATCTTCTGTTTAGTGTAAACATGGCCTTAGTGCTTGTGTAATCTGGCCTCCTCAGTAAATCAGGCAGTTAAAGGGGTGAAGACTTGGAGCAAAATAAAGAGGAATAGTATGAATACCCTATGGGAAAAATTAGACTATGGATGGAAAAGTACCGTATTGTTGTGAAAGATTATATAAGAATAGCCAGCATTATGGAGGTCATCAATTCTCCTAGCTGAAGTACATAAGAACGGCCATACTGAATCAGATCAAAAGTCCACCTAGCCCAATATCCTATCTTTCACCAGTGGCCAATGCCAGGTGCCCCAGAGGGAATGAACAGAACAAGGAATCATCAAGTGATCCACCCCCTGTTGCCCATTCCCAACTTCTGACAAACAGAGAGCAGGAAAACCATTCCTACACATCCTGGCTAATAGCCATTAATGGATCTATCCTCCATGAATTTATCTAGTTCTTTTTTGAACCCTGTTAAATTCCTGGTCTTCACAACATCCTCTGGCAAGGAGTCTCACAGGCTGACTGTTCATTGTGAGAAGAAATACTTCCTTTTGTTTGTTTTACATCTGCTACCTAATAATTTCATTTGGTGACTTCTAGTTCTTGTGTTATGGGAGCAAGTAAATAACTTTTCCCTATTTACTTCCTCCAGAAAGTGATGGTAACTAATTTTAAATGGGGGAATAGGTGCTCAAAATCTCCAAAAATCAGGCCACTTATTTAGGAGCTTCAGATACCTAAATATGGAGTTAGATGCCTGTCTAGCGTGGATGCCTAAATAAATATTAGCTGTAACCTCACAGAATGATGGTGAAAAGATTGGTTGCTCAAAAACTGAATAGCCCACCCCACTTCATCCTGATAACATTGGAGAAACCATGTTAGCAGATGAAGGAGAGGGAAGGCCTGTAAGTAAAGTTGTGAAACAGGACACTGGATAACTAACTGAATTCACTGTTTTGCTTCAAACATACTATCTGAGCTTGTCCAAGTCTCTCAATCGCAGTGACTCAGCTTCCCATCTGAAAAATGGCAGTAGCAACACTTCCCTGACTCACTGTGCTGTTGTGAGGATAAACAGCTTAATAACTGAGGTGTTTGGAAACAATAGTGATGAGAAAGAATAAACAACTAAAACAATTGATACATTTATGCAGGGCCAATCTACTCTCTGAAGAAAAGAGATGCAGGATATCAGGAAAAAAATGGGATTTTCTTTGAAAGAAACAATGTCTCTGTCCAGTCCAGACTAGAGCAAGTATGAGTCCTGCCAATTTTTTCCATGGACCTCAAAAGCAAAGGAAGCAACTTGACAACTTGGCAAAGAGCAGATGTACATAAGCAGCCACCCTCCACATATTAAAAAAAGGGAAAGTATTCTATAGAACTTAGATCTCCGCCTGCTCTGAAACATTACCTCACTTACATGGTTTTCATACCTGTGACACAAAGATTCACATCTGGATGACATCATAGGCACTGGCTTCCTGCAGGGCCCTCCACCCCAGGCTTTGCCCTTCCCCCATCCATTTTCCCAAGTCCCCACCTCCAACCCACCTCTTCTCTGCCCCAACCCCCACCCTGCCCTCCTCAAGTGCCTGTGTTCCCTGTAAGCTGCACACTTGAGCAGCAGTGCAGGAGACATTGCACTACTGCCCAGCTAATTAGCAGAGCATACACAGCCAGCAGCATGTGTTCAGGTGCCTAAGGCCATCCCAACCAGAGCTGGTGCCCTAGATAGCCCAGTACTGGTAACCCCCATTCTCCAGGGGGCCGAAGCTGTGAGGGAAAGCAGCTGCCAACTCTCCTGGATCAAACCGCATTTACTGTAGTGATGTCCGGTTCATCCAGTTTGGGAGAGTTGGCAACCTGGAGCAGGGCCAAGAGAGAGGACTAAGTCGAAGGAGCAACAGACAGAGACACAGCCAGCCAGAGAGAAGCAGCGCTGTTAAGGGGAAAGTGCTGCTTCTCTCTAACCACCTACTGCATGTCTGTCCCCTGCTCAGTCCTCCAGCCCATGATGGCCACTTGCCTTTTCTGATTAGCCAGGGCTGGACCCTGAGCCTTGGAGGGGTGGCTGGGGCAGACGGTTGCCAGACCCGCACTGACCGGGAGCAGGGAAGCCATGGAATGGGGGCAGCCAGCGGCTACAGGCAGCATCTGGCTGCATAGAACACCATGAAATGTGGTGCCCTATGCAGCTGCATGTTTTGCCTACTGGCAGGGGCAGCCCTGCAGATGCTCCTCCCACCACGTTGCTCCATCCAGCAGCTGCTCCCAGGACCTTCCTGGAATAGGGGAATATTGATGTCAAGGTGTCCAAGGGGGGCAGCCAGCGGCTACAGGCAGCATCTGGCTGCATAGAACACCATGAAATGTGGTGCCCTATGCAGCTGCATGTTTTGCCTACTGGCAGGGACAGCCTTGCAGATGCTCCTCCCACCACGTTGCTCCATCCAGCAGCTGCTCCCAGGACCTTCCTGGAATAGGGGAATATTGATGTCAAGGTGTCCTTCTTGCCCGGATCCCATCTTTGCAGAGAAGTTTTAAAATCTGGGGGGAAGGGGGCCTGAAAAAACTCTCTAGAATAAGATTAAAGGGCAATATGCACAAACATTCATATCAAAATTCAAAAGTACAAATTTAGTTTGAAAATTTGACCAATATGTGTAATAATGACAATGGGGAAGAAAAGAGTGTATAATGATCAATTTTTTCCTCCTCCTAATAGCTTGTGTTTAAAATATATACACAATAAAAGTTATTTCAAAATGCTGTTTACCATACTTTACATTAGTTCTAGTGTTTTGGAATCATTAAATGTTTGTTTGCTACAGCCCCTACATTTTCTCCTTTACAAAAGGAACAAAGAACAAAAAAACAGAACCATCAGGCTTTTATACACAATAACACTGCAATTTACCTCTGTAGAATGTTTCTTCAGATGACAAAATTATCACAGCCTGAAGAAGTGGGTTTTGCCCCCTGAAAACTCATGAGACCATATATATATTTTTGTTAGCCTCGAAGATGCCACAGGACTACGTGTAATGTATTTGTGTCCACGTGTAAAACAGAAACGTCGCCGTGGCTGTAAGTACATTGTGAGGGGAGTGCCCCAACCATCTCAACTTGCTACCTTAACACACACCCCAAAAAAAACCCCACACCCCGGTGCAGGAGACGGGGAAAGTGGGAGCCAGAAATTGTGGCACGTGACACACACCCCCTCAGACTCCCGGCATCACACGCTGCCACCCCTAGACCAGCGAGCGGGGAAAGCCACATGACATGTAAGTACATTGTGAGGGGAGTGCCCCAACCATCTCAACTTGCTACCTTAACACACACCCCAAAAAAAACCCCACACCCCGGTGCAGGAGACGGGGAAAGTGGGAGCCAGAAATTGTGGCACGTGACACACACCCCCTCAGACTCCCGGCATCACACGCTGCCACCCCTAGACCAGCGAGCGGGGAAAGCCACATGACACC